CTTGCTCAGACATTAGTCAGAGGTTTCTATGGTTAGAGCTAGCTCAGCATGCCTGATCTGTACAGTCCAACACTTGCTGAAGTGTGGTCTGATCTAGACACGTTGTTAGTTTCTGTTTAATGTGCTCTTCTTTGGCCTTCAAGGCCTCAATAGTAAAATTGGTCTGTCTCACCCGTTCATTCAGCAGCTGGGTCTGTGCCTTCTGAAGGATCTTGCTTGCCCGGTGCCCGCTGACAGAAAATTTCAGTTCCAGGTTCTTGGGAATGATGCCACTTTGTCTGCATCTCAGGTTGAATCGCAAGTGGTTCCTGTAGACTTGTAAAGGAGGAACCCAGACCAGTGGTCATTCTGTATGTTGAGGGAGTATCAGAGAAACTGAGACGTTTATTTTCTCAACACAACGTCCCAGTGGCTTTTAAACCCAAAATACATTACAGCAAAGACTGGTTCATCCCAAAGATCCAGTCCCCCGGCACAAACAGAGTAATATTGTGTATGCTGTTCAGTGTCAGGAGGGCTGTGATCAGTCTTACATCGGGGAAACTAAACAGCCACTGACCAAAAGGATGGCCCAGCACAGAAGATCAACATCATCAGGCCAGGACTCTGAGGTCTACACTCATCTCCAGGCCAGTGGTCACTCTTTCAGGGATGAAGATGTTCACATCCTGGACAGAGAGGAACAATGGTTTGAGAGAGGAGTAAAGGAGGCCATCTTTGTGAAAAGAAATCGTCCATCATTAAACAGGGGTGGAGCCTCCGGGTTCAACTGTCCCCCTCTTACAATGCTGTGATTGCTAGTATCACTCAGCCCTCTGTGAACAGTAAACAGCCATCAGGTGCTAATGATCCATTGTTAGGCTGATGGTCCTTCTTGAGCATGTGAGCAGCTGGTTTTGGTTGTCAGCAACAAACTGGTTGATCCACTCTGAGAAGGTGCTATTTAAGAGACTGAGCTGAATACAGCACCTCAGACTGAGGAAGTCTTTCGGATGAGAGACGATACGTTTCCACAATTTTTTGTTTGTTTGTTTTGTTTTTTGAATGTCCAGAGGACCAGACTTAACTTTTTTAGATTTTTCTACCTGGATTATTGAGCATGCATCAGGATATGTTTCTGCTCCTTATCGGGTCAGTGTTGAAGGCATCACTCATCTTTCCGGTAAGATGGCGCCCGTGTACATGGCTTGCAATCCACCTCTGCTGATGGTGTTCGGATTATTTTTGTTTTTTGCATTTCACATCAATGACATCAACTCTCTGCTGGTGTATGACAGACAACAACTTTTGGATCTTAGTTTTTCTGTCACTGAAGTCGCTTATTTGGAACAATATGAGCGTACCTCTGGACCCCCCCCCTCCTCCCCCCTGCTGGCGGACGTGCCAACTTACCTTCGCTGCGCTCCTCACCTCCCTGCTCCCTGCACCTCCATCGCTTCAGACGCCGGGGAAAACATGCTGGTCAAGTTTAAAGCTCTGCGCGCTGCATCTTCCTCTCCAGCTGGCGGTCATGGTCTCCAGCTTCCCGCGTGCCCGGACCAGGTAACCAACGGGAGTTTTCAGCCGGTGCACCGCTCGGACCGACCTGGAGGGGCTGTTATTGAAAACCTGCGGCCATTAGCGCGCGCTAACTCCACCACTGCTGGCTCCACTTCGGACAATATCCGGATGTGTTTGGTCAACGCAAGATCTGTTACCAACAAAACTTTTATCCTCAGGGATTACTTTCAAGAGCACGATTTGGACTTTCTGTGCATCACAGAGACTTGGATGTCTCCGGGTGAGTCCAGCGCCTTGACGGATTTACTGCCACCGAACAGTCTGTATTTTAACGCCCCGCGGCCATCAGGCCGGCGCGGTGGTGGATTATTAACAATATTCAAATCAACTTTTGACTGTAAACAACTGCCCATCCCAGTTTCCCGTGCCAGCTTTGAGCTGAGCGTCTTTGAACTCAGACATTCACCTCAGACTTTATTTGCACTTGTCTTCCGCCCACCTCGGTCTAAGGATTTCATAAATGAGTTTTCTGACTTCTTGGCTGAAATCACACCAAAATATGAGCATGTTTTCATTATTGGGGACTTTAATTTGCACGTGTGCTGTCCTGAGAAGCCCTTGGTTAAGGACTTTTTAGATTTATTGCACTCATTTAATTTAACTCAGCATGTAAACGGTCCGACCCAAGAGCGTGGACGTACACTGGACCTTGTTTTAACTCATGATATGACTGTTAATAATCTTGTTATTGGTGATAATGTTTTTTCAGAGCACATGCCAGTCTGGTTTGAGTTCACCCTCCCCCATCTAACTCCTAAGTCGTGCATTCCTGCACGTAGGACCCGGACCATTAACCACTTCACTGCCACACATTTCACAAATGTTTATAACTCTGAAATGATAATTCAGGCCCCAGTGTTTCTCTCCACCACTGAGGAGCTGACATCCCAGTTCAACTCTGTCTGCTTAAAGACTCTGGATCATTTTGCACCTGTTAAAACTAGAAAATCAAAAATGAGAGCAGAACCTTGGCTGAGAGACGTCACCAAGGCCGTTAGGCAGCAATGTAGGAGGGCGGAGCGAAAGTGGAGGAAAGATAGGCTGCAGGTCTCTTTTCAAATACTTAAAGAGAGTTGGTGCCGTTATCAGAAAGCAGTGAAAGCTGCTAAATCCAAATACTTCTCTGATATAATTACATCAAACTCTCACAACCCATGTGTCCTCTTCTCCACCCTAAACTCTGTTCTCCACCTCACTGAACCATCACCTCTGGAAGCCTTGACTGAGCTGTGCGACAACTTCTTACATTTCTTTTTGGAAAAAATTGCGACCACCCGGGCTCTCATTTCCCCTCCAACTCATGACCCATCCATCCCACCTCAATCTGTAGCTCTATTTGATCATTTTGAACCCATCACTCTATCTTCTCTAGAGCAGGTCATGTGCAGCTTGAAACCTTCTGGTTCCCCCTTTGATGTGGTCCCCCCTCGACTACTAAAGGAGGTTTTTCCTACTCTAGGTCCGTCCATTCTTGCCATAGTAAACAGTAGTTTATCCACTGGCGTGGTGCCAAAATCCTTTAAACATGCTGCTGTCCAGCCTCTCCTGAAAAAAACCAAACCTTGACCCCTCAGTCGTCTCCAACTACCGGCCTGTCTCCAAACTCCCATTTGTTTCTAAAGTACTGGAGAAAATAGTCGAGTCCCAGTTGAAGTGCTTCCTGGAGGATCACGCCATCTTAGAGCTTTTCCAATCTGGCTTTAAACCTCTCCACAGCACTGAAACTGCCCTGCTGAAGGTCTTTAACGACATCTTCAGATTCACAGATACTGGTGATTCTGTGCTGCTTGTCCTGTTGGACCTCACGGCCGCCTTTGACACCATCGACCATGAGATCCTCATTACTAGGTTGGAGCAGTGGGTGGGCATCACAGGGTCAGCCCTCAATTGGTTCAGATCTTACCTCGCTGACAGATCCTTTTGTGTCTCCGTCAAGGATTTTAGTTCCGCAGAGGCAGAGCTTAAATGGGGGGTTTCCGCAGGGGTCCGTCCTGGGTCTCCTCCTATTCTCTTTATACCTGCTGCCGCTTGGTGCTATTTTCCAGAAACACAACATGCCCTTCCATTTCTATGCCGATGACTGTCAAATTTACTTCCCCCTAAGACACAATGGTACATGCTCTATTCAACCGCTGCTCAACTGCCTGGCTGACATCAGGGACTGGATGGCTTTAAATTTCTTAAGTTTCAATGAAAAGAAGTCTGAAGTTATGTTGTTCCCTCCCACCGACACGATCACAAACCACAGCATCGACCTTTCCGCTCTACCCCTGTCAGAAAAACAAAGAGTCACTAATCTGGGAGTGATAATGGACCCTTCCCTGAAGCTTAACAATCATGTAAACATGATTGTTAAATCATGCCTCTTCCAACTGAGGCGGCTATCTAAACTGAAGCCCATATTGTCCAAAAAGAACCTGGAGACAGTAATACCTGCATTCATTACATCTAGGCTTGATTACTGCAATTCACTCCTGTTTGGTATCAGTAAGACCTCCATTGCACGACTACAACTGGTCCAGAATGCAGCAGCCCGAATTTTAACCAGTACAGGCAAAAGAGAGCACATTACACCAGTTTAGTCTCCCTACACTGGTTACCGGTTCACTTTCGAATCCAGTTCAAAATACTTATGTATGTCTACAAATCACTGAACAGTTTCGCCCCCCCCCCCCCCCATCTCTCTGATCTGCTACAACCGTATGTCCCAACACGTTCCCTGAGGTCAGCGGACCAGTTGCTCCTCACAGTTCCAGGAACTTGTCTTAAGCGCAGAGGTGACAGGGCCTTCTCTGTAGCAGGACCAAGACTCTGGAACGAGTTACCTCTGCTTGTCAGACAGGCCCCCTCCCTCTCGGTTTTCAAGTCCCGTTTAAAAACTCACTACTATTCAGTAGCTTTCAACACCAGAGGATCTGTGTTTTGATCCTGTATGCTCCACACTGGTTAGTCGTCATTATCTGCATCGTTTTTATGTCTATATTCTGATTTACTTCATTTTGTATATTGTTTTGTGTGTTACCTGTTCTTCTGTCTGTACAGCACTTTGGTTGGCCTTGTAGCTGTTTTAAGTGCTCTATAAATAAAGTGGTATGGTATGGTACGGTATGGTATGGTATCTTTCTGGGGTTCTGCTGGTAGATCAGACCAAGATACACCACGAAGAGGACTCGCCGGGAACTGCCCAAAGGTAGCTGAATGTGCTGACTCCATCCTCCAGCTGTCCAGTGCTATTGTTAGCAGCATTCTCCATAGATGTGGAAGGATGGCAGTAGGCTTGATCCTATTTCCAAATTATTGTTTCTTTGTTGGTTGCAGTCTGATTCCAAAACATCCTCGTTCTCCGATTCCATTTTAGGCAGTTTGGGTAATAGAAAACGGTCCATTTTTGCATTTTGTGCACTTTTCAAATGTTTACCAAACTTTTAGTAACTTGAATTTTCACTTCCAATTCGGAGGTTTATATCCTGTTGTGAGATCGGATGTATTTTTTTCAGCTCAATATAATCATTGATTGTTGTTGTTTTTTTTATTAGTTGTGTTTTGCGAGGAAAAAATCACAATAACCACATATTAAAGAATATTAGATGAAAAATAAAATAATTTGATATTTTCTTGGGGGTGCTATTGGGGTGCTATGACTTTTCCAGGGGGAGCTCTAGTGCCCTCTAGCACCCCCATGGTGCCACCTATGATCACACTCTTGACCTGGTTCTGATTCATGGTATAGAGATTAAGGACTTAGTAATAGTCATTTCTTCTATTTTATCTTGGAATGGTGTCCCTATTGAGTTTGTCGATTCTTAATAGGTGCGAGAATTTGGTTCACATTGTTGGTAGTAAGTCGGACCCCTTCAAGGTGGGAGTTGGACTCTGCCAGGGCTGCCCGTTGTCACAGATTCTGTTCATAACTTTTATGGACAGAATTTCTCAGTGCAGCCAACGTGCAGAGGGATTCCAGTTCGGTGGCCTCAGGATTCCATCTCTGCTCTTTGCAGATGATGTGGTCCTGTTGGCGTCATTGTGTCATGATCTTCAGCTCTCACTGGAGAGGTTCGTAGCAAAGTGTGAAGCAGCTGGGATGAGAATCAGTACCTCCAAATCTAAGGCCATGATCCTCAATCAGAAAAGGATGGATTGCTCTCTTCGGTTCAAAAGTGAGGTTCTGCCTCAAGTGGAGGAGATGACAAGATGGCCGCGCTCAGAGCAGTTGCAGCTTCACAGGCTCCCGGTACCATCCCAGTTTTTAGAAGTTTTGATATTGACTCTGTGCCTGACTCTGCGCGATTTATGCGTGTGAACTATAGCCGAACCGAACTGATGAGAATAGGAGCGGATTTGCCACGAAATATAGCAGAAATCAGCAACAAACTCAAAGCTACGCTCGGCAGAATGCAGATCTTAAAGTCATCTACCTGGAAGCTGCAGCAGAGGCGTTCCAGCGGGCAGAAGAGGAAGCGCTGCTCCCGGCTTAAGAGGAGAGGATGCCGGGCGGGGGTTATGGTGAGGCTACGAGCTAACGCTAAAGCCGGTAAACTCCCCATGCCGTCTCTCTTTCTGTCGAATGTCCGCTCGTTGGACAACAAGATGGATTTACTTCGTCTGAGAGCGGGCGCCTCAGAAGAGATGAAGAAGTGTGCAGTGCTTTGCCTCACAGAAACGTGGATTACAAGTGAAACGCCGGACTCAGTCTTCCAGCTGGATGACAGACTTTTTTTTCGAGCGGACCGCTGCAGCGAGCTAACGGGGAAATCACGGGGGGG